GAAGACTGATCAAGGTTTTAGGAGCGTGGAACTGAATTGAAGCCTCTCCTTGTTGGGTTCTGACCCTGGGCCCCATCAGGAGACCAGAACCTGAGCTTCTGAGACTCGGGACTGGTTCATCTGGCTCTAACATGTCAGAGAGGTATTTGGGTGCTTGCCCATGTAGAGACATGTACACAAGCAGAGCTGTTTTATATATTCTGTTCTCTGAGTGACAGGAAGCCAGAGCACAGACCTGAGAACTGGACTGATGTGGTGCTATTTCCTGGTTCTGGTTAGAACTCTAGCGGAAGCGTTCTGGATGTTCTGCCGCTGGATCACAGCTGGTTTAGAGCCCATTGAGAAGGCCGTTATAGTAGTCCAACCCTCTAGAGACAAACATGGATCAGTCGTTCTGGGTCTGGTTCAGACTCTTTTCCTCTCATTCTGGCAACGGTTTTGAGATATTAAAAGGCTGCTGATGTTTTTTTTAATCTAATGTGTATGTTAAAGTTCAGGTCTGAGTCCAGTATTACCCTAAGATTCTTGACCTGGTTTTTAGATTCCAGAGAAAGTTACCGAAGGCGGCCGTTGACACTTTGTCTTAATTTCCGTGGGCCACAGACACGATCGAGATTTCAGTTCTATCTGGGTTTAACTGGAGAAAGTTGTTCTCCATCCACGAACTGATCTGTTCAATATAAATCGACAGTTCTCCTTCTGTCAGCAACACGTAGTGTCATCTGCAGAGTTGTGTTAGGACAGGTTATGGCTGGGTATTAGCTGTCCCAATGGAAGCATGTACAGATTGAACAAAAGGGGCCCCAGGATTGATCCCTGGGGAACCCCACAGGTCAGACCCAATCGGTCTGAGACACAGGTCCCAATTTCAACAAAGGAAGACCTGTCCTCGAGGTAATACTGAAAATCGTCTGCATAGTTTTTAGATAAAAGCTTTTAGATCTTTTATCAGAAGCTGTTGATGCCTGTTTTATTCACATTTATCATTAATTCAAACAACCCTAGGTAGCTGATAGGCCTTTCTAGTGGGCGAGCGGACGTCCGTCCTGGTGGTTCCAGTAGGTATTCGATCCAAAAAATTGGAGTAATTTCAAACCTCCTCTAGCCAATTTTGTACAATTGAAAATGACTCTTTTGCCCAGGGACGATTTCGGCATAAAAGGAAAAGGAAAAATACCCCCGGGTGTCTGGTCCTGGTGGGAAACCCTGATAAAGTAACCAAAGAATAGTGAGCACTAAACAATGTGAACATGTGAACAATGTGGACGGGTCTTTTTTTTTTGCTTTGTTATTTGTTCAGTCGTTTGTTGCGTTGCTAGGATTTTTTCCCATCCATATTTATTATGAACCTTCCATCAAAGCTTCCATCCCTTTTTCCAGGTGACCACATCTTCCCCTCGAATCTCCTGCAGAGATTTTCCTTTTTACGTTCATCCGTTTAAGCTCAGCACAAAAATGCAAATTGGGCATTTTTTATTTCTTTTAAAACGTGACTTCTAAAAACAGAGCTATGTATTACCGTGTCCAGATAATTTCCAGCTTAAATGATAAAAACATTCTTCTACTTTTATGTTGTGTCAGTGTAAAAGCTGCAGTCAGATTTTCTATCATTTAGAAACCAACACAATGCGATTCATTCTTTCAGAAAAGGGAACGCATTCAACCTGGACTGTCATTTCCAAGCCGTAACCTACTTTGCATCAGCTGACTCACAAACAAAATTCTTTTGTGGCTCCGGCCGACAACACAAAGGGGGCAGTGTGCGCTTTCAGGTGTGCGCCGTCTGTGTGTGTTTCGACCAGCGGATGTTTGTGCACGCTGACTTTTAAGACAGGTCGAGGTTCATTTAAACCATTCGTTTCAGAGTTAGAGGGGTAACTGAAAGTCCTCACGACACAGAAAGACGAGTGTGTGTGTGTGTGTGTGTGTGTGTGTGTGTGATGAGACAGAACTGTGTGTGTGCAGAGGAAAGCGGCCTCAGATCAGGTTTTTCTGGGTGTGTGAAGTATTTTCTTTTGTTTTAGCTGCACACATTTGTGTCTGAGCAAACAAACCATGAAAAAAAAACAGAATAGATAACGAGTCATTTGACGGATGATCGTCCAACTGTGTGCTTATAACACAGATATGAACGCGTCCGATGGAATAATTTAATCTCAACAGGATGTGGTGTTTACAGAACATCCACCTTTGGTAAATAGGCTTGTTGTGATCGGCTTCTGTGTCCCTATATATCCCTGTGGACGTCAAACCAGAGTTAAGATCCAACTGTTATCACCGAGATAGCAATGCAGGACTTTAAAAAAATAAATAAATAAATAAAAATAAAATAAATAAATAAAAAAAATAAATAAAAAAAAAGAATGTAAATATAATAATATAATAAATGTAATAGAATATTCCGCCCTGATGGTGAAATCTGCAAAAGGTGAGAGTATAAATAACAGAAGCTGGGTTTTAGCTGGAAATTTAAGTTCCAGTCGCTTTTGTTTCTGTTCAGAGCAGCGAATGCTTTCGTTTGCTGGAAAGCAGGAAAATCTCTCAGCCCCCAGAACAGCACGTCCATTCATTTGCATCGATGCCGCTGCAAAAAAAAGATACAAAAAAAAAGTCCCAACGAACGTTTCAGCTGTAACAATTTTAATCTTCCATCATGAAACTTGATCAAGCACAAGAAAAGCCTTTAACGACACAAACAGAGACAGAGAGAGCATAATATTACAGAAATGATAGATGGCATGGGTTTCACCTTTATGTCACAGAGGGGAAAACCAAAAATGACCACAGAAAAAAAAACAAACGAAAAAAAACTCGGAAAAGAATTAAAACTTGGATGAACTTTTTCCTCATCGTGACAAAAGCTACGAAAAAAACAGTTTATGCTGAAATCCTCTTGAAAAACACACAGGTTTTGTAATACAGAGAAAAACTACATTTTTGGAAAAAAAAAAACTAAACAAAACCAAAAAATAAAGTTCCCTCCGTTTCTCCTGACGTGTTCGGCGAGATCACATATGAACAAATATCTTTATCTTATTACTGTGCGGCCGCACCAGAACCAGAACCAGAACCAGAACCAGTCACTACTCAGAAATGCATGTTCCACGAATCCACGGAATTTGGTTTTTAATAATAATAATGAGTGCCCATTATTTACAGAAGGCAGGTTGGGGTTTTTTTTCTCCTTTTCTCTGGTGTAATAGTAGTGTGTGATGTAGTGATCTGTGTGGGGAAGAATGCCGTACGCATGCGTCTGTAACAGGCTTGTCCTGGAATGTAACTGATGATAACTTATAATAAACGCGTCTACGAATCTAACATAAAAAAAAAAAAACTACCTAAAACATGATGTCACGGTCGAACCCCTCATTTCATTGATCCTGGCTTCTGGAAAGAGTTTTATTTTGGCTATCAGAAGTGTGATGTTTCAGTAAAAGGTGGATAACAGGCAAATAGGGACTTATTAGCTTAAAAAATTCTGTTTCTTGAGAGTTTACTGCCTTTTTCTCTTAGCGTGTAAGTTTTTTTCTTCATCGTATTTTTCTGTTATGTATTTGTGTGTAGGGTGAAGGTCCCATGAGCAGCGGGAGCTTTATTTTGAAGGGCATCGTGCATCCTGTGATGAACTCCGCTGCATTAACAGGAGTAAAGCTGCAGCTGGAGGGTGTACAGAACCTAAATAAGACCGTGGGGTTCACTGTTTCTTCACAGTTGTGTCTTTAAAAAGGATTTTAGTTCCATGAAGTCCTTTTAAAAGGAGGTAATATTGGGCTGTTCAGTGAGAGAAACGGAGGAAACCTGTCGAGGTTTTCAGAGCACGGGGGGGGCAAAAAAGACAACATGTGACTGACTGGGCTAAATCATAAAAAGAAAGAAAAGCAAAGAAAAACAGGGTGTTGAAAATAATCTGAAGAGAATGAACCCAAAACAAAAGAGAAAAAAAAGAAATAATATGTTCCACTGAGACAATGATTACATTAACAATAACCAATGAACAATTCATTTGAAAAGCTGGAAAGTGAAAAGAAAAAAGAAAAAGAAAAAGAGGGCTTGTTTACATTTTACTGAAACGCAGGAATAGTTGCTTTAAACTAAAATGTGCTCGGTCCTTTTCCGTTGCTTTCCTAAAAGGACAGCCGTTTCTTTCCAGCTGTGACTGGAGCTGCTGGTCCAAACCGTGTGGTCAGTTCCGCTGACCGCGGCTGCGAGACGGTCAGCAGTTTCTGAGCCTGGCTTCGCGGCCAAACTGGGTCCAAAGTGGCCGGCAGCTTTCCGTTAACTAGGCGGTCCGATCCCAGAAGTGGAGGAAACGCCGCTTTAAATAAAGTCCCTGAAAGCGCCTGCCACAATATAAATAACGAGAAAAAAGCTAGACTTCATGTTTGGATGTTGGATTGGATTTTTGTTGTTTTTCATCAGCTAGGCAACTTCTTTTGATAAAAATCTAATTTATGTATTTACAAAGGTGTCGTTTTTGGTAAAACAAAGACAACAAAAGTAGAAAAACACGACTATAAACAGCACATTTCAACTGCGGAGACCCTGGGGGTCTTCACCGGGGGTTTGGGTTGGGTTGATGGTTAAAAAACCAAACCCTACGCTATCTGTACAGTTCATACCGGCTGGTGGCAGCAGTCTTAAGACAAAGTTGGATTGTTTTTTTTTGTTCTTTTTTGTTTCTATTACTTAGACTTGGTTGTTTTTTTTTTTTAAATACAAATATCTCATCAAGCTGTAGGTTTGAGGTGTTCTGTGTCATTGCACATTCTTCTGATGTCAGACCTGTCTTTGTTCCATCACGTCAGCTCCTCCCTCCCTCATTCCAGCTCTAACTGGGAAACTACGTCGGGGGCCGAATTTCACATCTTCACCTTTGAGTTATGAGCCGGGGGACTGGTGGGCGGGGGGGGGAAATGGAGGGGCAGCTGGTCTTTGTCTGGAGCTGATGTCTTCTTTCTGCTGGCCAGGTGGCAACTCTAGTGGTCTCTGCTCCACCCCGTTTAGGTCTGCAAGGAAGAATATACGCACATAAAAAAGCCTATTCTTCTAGCATGTGGCTCCTAAGCTAAGCTAAGAGTGGAACTGGTGTTGTAGCTGAATGTTAAACCCTCTTTTTGGAAGTCGCTGTGGATAAAAGCGTCTGCTGGAGGCAGAAAAATGAAAATCAGTGGTTTTCTCATGGCTACTTGGCTGTTCTGTCCCTAATCCCTTGAGTTCCCCTGTGTGTGAATGCAGGGGTTTTGTTCCTGTTAAAAATCTAATAATTACATTTGTAGAGGACCAACTCAAACATGTCAGTCTGACCAAAATCAATCCAGACTGTGTGGCCCCGTGCCTGCTCTCGTTTTGGAGCAGTGTTATGGGCGCCGCTGGAGGACCTGGCAAAATGGGAGAATTGGGAAGGGGCTCGTTTTATAGGATCAGAAAGATCCTCTAAAACGGCAACTGGCTCTCACCGGTGCAAATTAGCCCACGAGAGCCTGTGATCAACAGATATTTAACCCTCTGCCTGAAGCGGCTTTTATGGACGACATAACCCGGTTAAATCATCCCTTGTTCTGGGATTTGGAAGCCAGTAAAGCGAATAAAAGCCTGGGATCCTGGAGGGCTTTTGGTACACCAGGCCAACGCTGACAGGCCGTTTGCAGCTGACACTAGTGGAGTTTCTCTCTTTTTGGATCCAGTCATCTTTCCGATCTTTTGAAATCGACAGTAGGGCTGCAACGATTCGTCGACGTTGTCGACAAAAATCGATAATAGAAAAAGTCGACAATGAATTCCATTGTCGACTATTGTCGCCAGACGTGTTTTTCCAACAGAGTGAGACATCTCACTTAATTACAATCTGCACAGAGTCACCTGCACAACAGCGTCGCGGTTACAGAACCGCAGAGAAATGGCGGCGTCCAACACGCGTACAAAAACTTCCAAAGTTTGGGAGCATTTTATCCTTGATACGAGTAAAAAAATTACGTGCAAGGTTTGCAAAACAGACCTTGCGTATCACGGCAGCACCTCGGTGATGCATGAGCATTTAAAAAGAAAGCATGTTGGGCACTTAAATGAAACGGAGTCTGACTCGCCTCGGTAAGATTTAAGCAACAATAATGCTAATATGTTTTGTCTTTTATGTACGTTATACATTTTCTAAGCGTTTTTTCACTTTAAAAGAGAGCTTTAACGTTATGCCTGACTGTGCCTGACAAAGGCATTCTTATTTACGTTTTGTATCGGCTGCAAAGTTGAATAAAAGATGCATTTTTCATTGAAGTACCCATTTTTCTTGTGTTTATCATTTTCCACTTAACTAAAGCAACTTTATGCTATTTTTAAGAAAAAGTGAATAACTATTCGATTAGTCGACTAATCGTTTCAATAGTCGGTGACTAGTCGACTATTAAAATAGTCGTTAGTTGCAGCCCTAATCGACAGAAAAACTCAACTGCACTCATCTTGGGAAGCGTTGGTGTGGCCTGAAGCGTGGCGGGAGCCTTAAATTATGACGAGCGCGCGGCTTACCTTGGCACTCTGCCTCTGCATCTTGTGCACGGAGCAGGAGTCGTCCTCCCCCGACCCCTCGCACTCCGACTCGCGCTCCCGCTTCCCCGAGCTGCCGCCCCGGCTGTGCAGGAGGAGTCCTGAATGGCCTGCGAGGAAACCAGAGGAGATTGGAGCCCGCAGAGAGGAGCCTGGGGTTTGGAAGCGCTCGTGCTGGGACTTGAAACGGACGCGGCTCATTAATGTCGTGAGTGTTTCAGCTGCGGGGGGTTTTTTTTGGTTTCCCCGTGTCTGTTTCCTAACGGTCCTCCGTCTGGGTATCAAAAATAGAGCTGGTTTTCTGGTTTTGATTTGTTTTTGTGTGCGTCTCTCTTTCTAAAGAATCTTTCTCCTATTTTGGTCGTTTCCTTTTCTTTCCCCGTCAGTTTTGGTATGATTGGATACATGTAAAGTTTTGTGATTGCAAATAAGTCAATAAAACTGGATAATCAAGGGGGGCTTTTCACTCATTAAGCCCCCTTGGAAAATCAAACGTATTCAGCACAAAACTCAAATACAGATTTGAATTTTGCTGCCATAATGCTGAACAGGACAAGGAAAAAAAAAAAAGAGAGGAAAAATATGTTTTTGCATATTTATGTCAAATCTATTCTCAGTCAAAACTAAGAATATACTGCTTTTTTATCTCTCATCATACATTTGCTCCTATCATACATATTCATATTTTTCTCTTTATATTATTATTATTTTTCTCTTATGTATTTGTGTGGATTTTGAAGGGGGCTGTGCATTCTCTGATGAACTTTGCTGCATTAACAGGAGTAAAGCTGCAGCTGGAGGGTGTACAGAACCTAAATAAAGTCAGCACTCTCTTCCCACAGTTGGGAAATGCCATGAAGCGGGCTTCGTGAAGCCTGGACGCCTACCTGGGTGTTGAGGCACGGCGAACTCGTGGTAGGGTCGGCTGCTGGCGTCTGGCACTGAGTGGTATCCTGCACACGACACAGAGACTTAGCCTTTACATCAGCAAATCTGGCACCGAGTTGCTCAGGAGTTAGTCAGATACTGTGGATTCCAGCAACTTTGGATGCCAAGTTGTCTGGGTGTCTTTCTCTAGATGCTACTAGCAGCCAGTCACCATGGCGACATGCATCAGAATGGACTTATTCATGACCACACAGATGTCCAGTGGTGTGATTACAGCGTCAAAGACACATTCGAGCCGCATTCGTTATTAGGATTCACCTGTTGGAGATGACGGCTTACAATTGTAGTTTAAGGTAGGCTGGTCCCGATCCGATATTTGGATCGGATCGGCCGCAGATATTCGCAAAAAATGCGTATCGGCCGGCAGGAGAAAATGCCGATCCAGACTCCAGATCCAGTTTTTTTTTTAAAGTTACTGTAACCCACAGGTCTGTGTCCTAACCATTAAGTTGTTATCAGAGTAAATCCCTGTTCAACATGAGTCTGACAACTAAGGAAGTAGATAAATAACTTTAATAAATGCTCTGATAGGCTGGGATTGGTATCGGCCGGTATCGGATTGGAAGTGCAAACACAATATTGGATCGGAAGTGAAAAAAGCTGGATCGGGATATTCCTAGTTTAAGGTATTGGGTTCCAATGGACTCGAATCAACAGTGTGAAAACGCTTTATCCATGGAGAACTAATGCTGTCTCTTTAGACTTGGTTAAAACATTAAACGTTAATGCTTTTGTGTGTGTGTTGGGATGGGGCTGGGGGGTGAGCGGTGGGGGCTTCACCATGCTGCTGCTGCTTCTTCGGACTGGGCTGCGGCGCTGGCGTGCGCTGGGGCTTCCCGGCAGCGTTTGGCCCCGACTGCTCCTCGCTGTCGAAGTTGAGCAGGATGCTTCCGCTGCCGTTACTAGCTCCAACCGAGCTCCCCGACACTCCGGCCACTAAAAAGAAGGCGGAGAGAGAGAGAGAGAGAGGCTTTGTACAAGTTTCGCACACCAGCAAAAGCAGCCAGAAAAGTTTAAATTATTTGGAGAAAATGTGTTTTTATCTTCAAATTGACTCACTGTGCGAGTTGTTGTTGTTGGTCCCTGGCTGCTGCTCTCCTGGAGAGTAGGCCATGATTCCTCCGTTCCCGTTTCCATTGGTGGATGGTACTGACGCCAGCAGGCCTGGAAAGGGAAAAAACGGTGTATACTGTCATGTATACTGTATACTTATACGGTCGAACCTGTGACCTGCCCAGGAATAAGCATAAAAAATGTCAATGTGTGGGTGGAACTTTTTCATCCTAAATTTTGAATTCGATTGGAAAATGAAGGCTGCGTGGAAATGTCTTACCCAGCCCCCGGTATCGGCTCAGCTGCTGGTAGATCTGCTTCATCCTCTCGATGTTGAGCCGGCTGGCCTCTGCGTGGTGGACCATGGGCTTTGGGTAGTGGACGCCTATGATGCATTTGGCTGCTGCCTGCACGGACTCCGGGGCGTTCCAGGGGTCGTAGATGAACTTAGCAGGGAAACCTCGGAGGACAGGTAAGTATCGTCTGGAAGCACATGGAGACATTAGATTTGCTGGCTGGTGCCGACGGGTCAGAAGCAAAGCAGAGACGCGAGTGACATGTCGGCAGAAAATGCAACAGCGGGAAAAAAAGTTTTTTTTTTTTAGGTTATTGTTCTGAAACAACAGCTGTAATAGCTGTAACTGTGTTCATGTTAGCTTAAAATAATCATTCTGATGCATTTGAAATTCTGTCTGCAGTCTCTAAAGATAACTTTCTACTAATCAATATATTTTTCATATGCATACATACAAACATTGAATTGACATTTTTTTATTTCCAATTTTGCAGCCCACATCTAAACTCTAATGACCAATAGGAACACGCTGGTCTTCAGCACTCCGTGCTGACGAGTACTATGGAAAATGCTTGTTACAAAATTAAAAAGGTACAACCAACCACAACGCTGCACAGTATGGCTACAGTAGGTGAGAGTGGGAGGACAAAATATCTGACCCCCTTCCAAATCGGTGAACTTTGAACCCATTCTGGCACTGAAGTGAGTAACTGTCACAGTGCCCGGTGAGGACCAGACCTCCAAACGTGAAAACGAAACCAGGGCCGGTGGTCCGGAACAACATTTACTATGAGCGGGTGCGATAGATCCACACCGCAGACCAAAAAAAAAAAGAAGAAAAGAAGCCAACAAACAAACAAACAAAACACAAAAAAAAAAAACGCTAGTTACATCAAGGTAGAGAAGACAACCTGTCAGAGTAGCATTTCCCTGGGCTGTCGTGGATTTGCTCCGTGTGACAAAGAGAAGCCACCTACCTACTCCATTCGGTCCGACCTTACCTAGTCCGAGGAGGGGAGACAGGACAGAGGAGGGGGGGCGAGTGGAACTGTGGGAGGCGGCATAGTGCGGCGCTGACGGGCACAGAGAGCGGGGTGGGGGGCCGGTGTGGCGCGGCCCTTTGTGGACCGGCGCGCACACCGGGCCCACGGCGCTCCGGTTGCTACGGAGATAGCGCCGTCGCTAGAGAGAGGCCGCTGCCGATTGGGTGGATGATGCTAGGAGATGTCTACTGTGACACGCGGTTAGAAAGCAGAGTGTATTGACACCCCCACCCCCCCGCCCCCCAACCCAATACCCACCCCGCCTGGAGCGGGGGTACGGTGGAAGAATTCTGCCATCGAGAACTCCGTTTAGGATTTATTTATTTATTCATAACTACTGATGGAGAAACTGGACTACCCATAAGCACACCCTGCTGTCTTAGACTTCTGCTCTCTTCCTCTTGGACCAGGTACCGACTGAGGTGGTTAAGAGAGAGAGAAAGCAAAAGAAGGAAAAAGCCTTCCCATACCTATGCAGCTGTGGGGAACAGTTCTTTTCAAAACTTTCTGTCAACCTGCGTGTGTTCTTCATTCATATATGTCTGGAGGATGGAAGCTAAATGTTATGTCTGGTGGAGGTTTGCCTGAAAGTTTCTTGTCGATGACAGAAGTCTCTCATCATACCCCGGGCCCCCTCCCTCCCTCCCTCCATACCCCACGATCAGACAGCGATGGATTGAGAAAAGAGCTCATGTCTGCTCCCCCTGTCCCCCCCCCGGACTGTGGTGGTTCACTTTTAAGCGGTCGGCGGGTCCAGAGCCCCCCTGCCGACTGTCCCCTCCCACGACCGCAGCGCCACACTCGGGGCCGGCCCCCCTGAGCAGCCCCCTCATTTCACCAAAAGGGACCATGGCCCCTTTGCCAGGAAGATGTGCCACCTGCCAACAGCGAGCAGTCATGTGGAAAGCAGTGGGTGGCGTGTCAGACTGAGAGGGGGGGAGCGTGTGGACGGGGCGTGTGGAGACCTGCGCTTTACTCAGGCTTCTGTTCGTCTTCACTTAATAGGAGCTAGTAAAAACAGCAGAACTCTATGAATGACATTGACAAGTGCATAATGTGTCTGGACAAGCCTGCACCTGACGGAGATTCTACTAGAAAGCATGTGTGTCATTGGTGTGTGTGTGTGTGTGTGTTTAATAGGCCAGCCACTGCTCCAGGTCCACTTGAACAGACAGGGCTGCATTCACATAAGCAGAGCACCACTGAGCATTACACAAAGGGCCGGATGAGGGGCTTTGCCGAGCCCCGCTGGACAAGGGGGCCGGCCCAGGTGTCGGGGTCCCCGGTGTCGGGGTCCCCGGTGCCTCTCCTCGCCACCCTCCAGGGAATGCTGCACAGCGCTCTACCCACCGAATGCAGCTAAAGCCATCTGCGTTTCCCCCACAAAAAAGGTCAGAATCCCTTTTGACGAAATGAGACGCCACCCGAGCCGCGGACCTGCCCGGAGGGTGCTGCTGGGGCGCGAGAAAGCTCGACCCTCAGGGTTACACTGGCGGATCAGAACGAGCAGCCACCCATTTCTCGACTCCATGCCCAGAGTGCACCCGGGCACGGGGGCACGAGAACGGCCAATCAGCTTAAAAGCAAGCCTCTACAATCCACAAAGGGGAGAGGGACAGCTGAACTTTTCCCCCAATCCCCCCACCAAAACAAAATACAAAACAAATAAGCCAAAATGACAAACACAGAGCCATGTCCAGAGAAAGGTTCACAATCTATGCCTCGGCGTTCCCAGTGGTCTGCTGGGGGACAGATATACACCTTTACACATGTGCCTGAGTCCACAATCACCAAACGGAGACAGACAATTCAAAAGAGACGCACAAAGGAAGAGCACTGCGAACACTTGGGGAGTCACACAGGCATTGGCTGACCCCCGATAAAACCTCACTGCTGGATGTGGAACAGAGAGGGAAAAGAAACCGAGGGGCAAAAAAGAGGGGAAGAGTTGAAGGGTGCTTATTCTCTTTCAGCCACTTACCCCCTTTCTCCCTCCATCTCTCTCTCTCTGTGTGCCAACCTCAGACCCAGTGTTTGTGCGCGTGTGTTTGTCTGAGTGTGTTCGTCAGAGTGTGCATTAGTCTGAGTGTGTGTGCGTTTGTCTTAGTGTGTGTGCCTGTGCTTCTGGTGTTTCAGTGGAAGTTGATAGCAGTTTAAATTGATCAACATTAACATTACAAATCAAATTATTCTGGGGGCTGCAAATAAAAAATGATATACAAGAAATATAAACCCCTTCACTAATCTATCTATAACATGACTGTCATTATATAATTGTTAAAAATACCCAAAACAATGACCTTTAAAGTTATTCATATATAAAAAATATAATACTATCATCTGTATAATATAAATAAATAATGTAATCAGATAAATTATTTCTGATTCCGATAAATCATTATCTGAATAAAATCTCAATTTCTATTTATTGTGTCTATAACATGTAGGCCTGAAGCTACCTTTTGGGTTTCCTAAGGTGTGTTCTCCTAAGCGTGTGCAGCCCAGAGAGACAGAGGGAAGAGGGAACCGTCCGGACTGGGACCGGCTGTTGGCACCAAGGGGCGCTGCCAGGAGAAGTGCCCACCTGATGAAGTCCCCGTTGGGGTCGGTGCGCCGGCCGAAGCCCACGGGGCAGTAGCAGTGGAAGAACTGCTGGAAGAAGGAGCTGCAGGACAGCCACATCCAGCTGCCGGCGTTCACGCTCCAGTCGGCGTCCAGCAGCAGCTCCTCGAAAACCTGCGGGGCCACAAGCGGGCAGACGGTCAGCTCAAACCGGACGCCTCTCCTTGTGCTTCAGTGTCTGGGATCCTGCTTTTAACTGTAGGGAATCCTGTCCCGATAAGTGAATTTAATCAAATATAAACGGAACATGCAATGATTGGCAAATCCTTCCTTTGCTTAAATTAGAAGCCAATAGAACCACCGGCAAAATAAATTCTCATATTCTACTCCGGGAGCTCAGATGTCCCTGTTAAAATAGAAATACAACAATATCAGCATGCAAACCTCTGCCTTAATTAACTGTAAAGGACTAGTAGTATGGTAGTATGACTGGTAGTACCCCATGTCCAACTCATTTCGACCAACCTTAAAATGGTACATTTGCTTCAGCTAAACACCTTAAGGGGTTCCTCAAGAGAAGATCGATCTTTGTTCTGACGCCAACAGTGGTTTGAATAGTATAAAGTATGTATGTAATTTTTCTGAAGGCGAGAGCTGACATTTAGAGCTCCATGGAAAGAATGATGAGGACATTGCATCACTTTTCAGCAGTAAGTTGTTTTTTTACTTTTATAGTGGATGTGTGGGTGTGGTTTTTGTTAAAACCCCCTCGAAAATTATCTTCCCATATTAAGAGTGTAATTACAGGGTAATTATAACGGTAAATGACTTTTTTTTTTTAAACCTAAAGAGAGGGAGATTTAATTTACTGATGCTGTATCTCTCCTTATCTTTCAGATCCGCTAAAGAGGAGACCAATATAAATCTGCTCTGATGGCTTGCGGAGAGAAAAGGGAAGAATTGTCTTGACTTTTATTGACTTTTATAAGACTAATAAACGACTGGTCTAGCACATGACTTGTCTCAGGAGTCTGTTAAAAAAAAACATACACATAAAAAAAAAGAAAAGAAAAGGGGAGTAAAGAAAAAAAAAAGTATTAGCAGTTGTAAATGATTAATTTCGTTATGCAACCAACAGGTTTTGTGGAGTTGTGGCATGAATATTAGAAAGAAAAGAAAAAAAAAAAAAATCATCAAAAGAGTTTCATCCAGCCCCGTAATGGAAATTTCTCCCGTCACCTTCATCCCTTCCTCCCAGCTTATCCACAGGTCCCCTCTGGTGAGGAAACAGGCCACGGCGTGCCTGGCCAGGTGGTGGATCCAGCCCTCCTGCCTCAGCTGAGTCATGATGGCATCGATCCAGGGAAAGCCTGTCTTCGCCTCGGCCCATTTAGCAAGCGCTTCGGGATTTCTGTCCCACGGGATGCGGACGCAGATGGGGTTGCCTTCCATCTTGTCGAAGCGCGGGTTGTTGGTCGCCGCCGTGTAGAAAAACTCGCGCCAGAGCAGCTGACCGTACAGGGAGAGTGGGGGGGAGCTGTTCTTTTTCACCTGAGGAGACAGAGAGACAAACGGGAAATAGAAACGCTTTTTCTTTAAGGTGACACGTTTCGTTATCACCGTTTTCTGATTTCAGGATTTTATCAGAGAAACTGATCTCTTTTTCCATCTCTTTTTAAGAGCACAAAATATCAAATCTAGTCCAGCTGGGCTAAGTCTGATTCTAAAACCACTCTTACTTATTTAGTTCCTGGGGTGTATTTGTCACCTCACTGCAGCTAAATTAATCCTTTTAGACTATCGGTGACAGTGTAACATTAATGCTAGTAACAATGAGGAATCTGAAATACTTGTGAATAAAAAAAAGTTCAAACTTAAAATGTTTTTCTTTCCAATAAAAACACTTAAAATCCAGTAATGGAGGAGGACAAATGTATGTTTTCTTACAGTTGGAGTGACTGATCAGATAACCTTCTTGCGAAAATCCACAAGGAGCAAAGTAAACGCACAAAAACTTGCATAAGTGGTATAACTGGTATAAGTTCACAGAAGTAGCATCATTAAGAACATCATTAAGAAAGAAAAAAGATCAGTTTGAGCTACAGCTTCTCTGTCACAATCATAGCTGTCATCATAAAGACAGAAGACGAACATCTGAAAAAATAACTCGGGCCTCGAAAAAACAAAACAAAATTGATAAAATAAAAAATAGAACTTGAATACTGGTTTATAGTTATTAATCATGATTTTTATGTAATAAATTTGCCTTCAGTGTAAGGTAAAGATCCTGTTTCTTACACTTTGTTTTGGAAAAATACTCATTTTTGATGGTGGGTTAAGAATGACTGTGTGTGTTTGGTGTGTGTCTGTGCACAAAATGAGCCACTGGTCATTTGGAAATCCTCAAAGCAAACCTTGCGGTAGAGGTCAGTGAGCTTGAAGTAGAAGAGGCGACAGGAGAGGCAGCCGAAGCGCAGGTAGGGGCTGAGGCCCGTGGGGCTGGCCAGCAGCGAGTTGGCATTCATCCTGGGACGCTCGAAATTAGCCACCCAGGCCTGAGAAAATACACGAGACGGCAAGAGAGAGAGAGACCGATTTAGAGGACAGAATAAGCATTTCTTGAAAAGTTATAAAACTGTATCAATATCTTATAAGGTTCATAACCTATGAATATAAATCTATCAGGATCCTGGATGTAATCCTGTATGCTGCAATAATGCAGAAATACTCCCATAAACATAAACAGTTTCTCCTAAGAAAACTATGAATGAATCCTTGACTAAAGAGAGAACGTGCCATTCGGGGGATGGTTTCCTAATACATTTAACTCTCGGAAACAGGTAGTGACTTGATGCTGGGCCAGCATAAACACAGATGACTCATTTACAGGGGAGCTCTGCGGGCTTCTGTTCACCGCAGCTGCAGCGCTAACCTTTCTCTCCAGATGGCGCTCTATCCTGGTCAGGGCTTCGGTCTCCCCTCCTGGCCAGACGGCCGACGGCAGGCCCTCTGTGTCGAAGCCTGAAAACATCCAGCACATCCACATCACTTCCTTCTCAAAGACATCAAAGCCGTTTCGTTCTCAGCAGTCCTAATCTTTTTATTTGATTTGATTCTGTATCTCAACACTATCAGCAGAGCATCTTACTAGATTTCAGACTGTTCGGTAACAAATACACAAAGACATCTAATCTCCCAAGCCTGTAAAGCCTCCTTTAAAGTCATTTGAAAAGGTCCACTGGGGCCAGCAGGTGTATGTCCAGCAGATGGAGGGATCATTGACTAAGAACAGGAAACCTTTGAATGGAAACATAACATCTGGACTGAGCAAATAAGAAGATTGACACTTTTTATCTGGCTAATTTGGGACCCGAGGGACAGCTTGTGTAGAACAAATCCGCACAGACAGAAGTCAGACATGGGCACCAGCATTCAGGGAAACCGCACACTTGACTTGGATTAGTGAATGGACGGCCTGGGTGTGAATGGCAGATGGCTAATGACTGGCTAACTATGTGAATGGACTCAGACAGGCTGTGAATGAGAGACAAGCATCTGGATGGAGACTAAAAAAGAAAAAAAAGAAAGGTGAGCCTGGTTAATCCAATAGGGAAGGTTTAGAGAGCACGTTGCTTCAAACGTGTGGAGAGTTGAAGCAAGGTTAGTGGGTACAGACTTCTGGATTTTCTGGATTTTTGTAAGTCGATGGTCAATTTTAGGCAAGTTAGGAAACACTACATTCTTTTTTCAAATAATACACTTTGCTGGAGAACCAGATCAGTAGTTAGGAAAGCAGAAGCTGAAATTCTAAACAATGATGCAGTTAAGGGCTCCCTTTATAGATAATAAATATGGATAGTTTCCTTTGATAATATATTTAGTTGTGCTCTTTTGTAATTTCAACCTTTTAAAATGTTATTTATCTTTTCTGACTTTGAAAAAAAAAATCAAAATAATTTATTTTCTTTTTCTTGTTCTCTTCAACCACGATGGTTTTCTGCTGGTCCCTGTCCTAAAATATATGAAAGTGTGTGATTAATTTCCTATTTTTTAGGCGACTGTAGCATCTTTGTGGCAACGGCATCAGAGCAGGAGTATCAGCTAACTTTATCATCTGTCCAACACAGTTAGATGTCCCATAACACACCGATGTTGGTTTAAAGTCTTACCCAGCTCTTCCAGAGACGGGACCCCGTACTTGTCCCCGTGGTCGTCAGAGATGGGAGTGACGCACTGGCCCATTATAGTGTCCGACAAAGCCTCCGCGGGCATCTCAGGGGGGTCCAGGCGGCTGATGAGGGTCTGGAAACGCTTGTACGTCAGCGGAGGCTGCCCTCCATTCAGCTCTATGATTCTTCAGAGGAACAGATTGGTCATTAATTATAAAGGTCAGGGTCAAAAAGCACAATTATCATTATCGTTTTTACATAACAAAGTGCGACTTAAGAAAAATAAACAACAACTTTTCAATTGGAAGCCAACTTCTGAAACTTGACTTTTGATATGCGGACACAACACTGTCAAAAGAGCTGCAAAAGAATGTGAGGGGATGGATCCCTGTTTCATCCAGCAGTCTAATGTAGCTAATGCTGGAGGTGGGCCACCTTAATACCATAAATGCTTCTTAGTTTAACATCATCGAGTATTGATGCAGTCTCCAAAAAACAAAAAAAAAACAAAAAAAATGGGAAGGCGCATACACGATAAAAGGTGGATCAAAGTCCTCATTTTCAGAATGAAGTGCCTCAGAAGCCAATCACAGTGCATGATTCAGTCATGTGATTTCAGGTGAGAAATACATGGTGTAGTGTAAACAATCCAATGACAATGAAAGCCATATATATATGTGTGTGTGTGTGTGTACAGGTATTTCCCAGTCTGTTTCCAAATGCCTGTGTGTGTGTTCTGGTTCCTAACTCACTTGTCTAGGTCATAGAGGGTGTGTGAGATCTTGACGATGACCTCCACCCCGGCCTCCGTGGCCAGCTTCTTGATTGCGGCGTCCCGCTCCTTTCCAAAAGGCTCCGAGTCGTACTCGAAGGTCAGCCGGGAGATCTTCCACTCCTGTGACAAAGGGGGGAGCGGACACTTCCCCGTCAGGGTTTCCCACACAGCTGACAAATGGTCGGTAGTTTTCAACATGAACGATCCAAAGGTGATGGATAAATTAGCAAATTCTTACATTTATGATTATGGAGGCAGCAACTATTAGTCTTTTTTCTGATTTTATTCTGTCGTTTGTTTAAATGCCCAGGGGTTATCTGTCCATACCGACCTTAAAGAGCCGGGGGAACACATTGGCTGGCTGGCCCCTGATCACGAAAAGGCGGGAGTTGAGCTTCCGGAGACTTGCATCTAGATCCTCCAAACACTGGAGGAGAAATCTGTGCAAGGGGAAGAAAAATATATTATTGTAGAGTTCTGCCAAGTGGATAATGAGCACAAATGGGGTGTGAGTGAAACCTTTCGAGGGTTAGGGTAGGATTAAATTAAAAAAAAAAAAAAGCTGATGACTCAGCCGGGTTGTTGCTACTCGCTTTACTTGTTCTGTTTGTGCTCTGCTGGTATCACTTTTCAGCCATCCAGGGCTAAAATCATCAGTGACTGTACTGAAAAGTAATTACCAAGAACTATTGGTTGGGGGAGAAATGGGCCGTTGCTCTAGTAGAGCTTAAGAAACCCGAGTAAATACACTTCAGTTATTATTTCTTATAATCTACTAGATTACAAAGAACTGCACGTTAGTTGAGGAATAATCACTTGTCAGTCATATTATGTTTTGGAATCACTCTGAATCGGCCCATTCTTTATGAGCACTCTCCTTCCAATGGTTTTTTAATTTTTTGAATGCGTGCCCTTGTTCATACAGTGTTCATTACCTGGTCTTCAAACTTTTAACCCCTTTAAGCAAGAAAAATCTTGGTATGGTTTAGCATCTTTTTTCAGAGGTGAATTGATGCTTAGCTATCATTGCCAACCAATGCTAGCCATCAAGCAGGCTTCATGTGACTGTTTTTGACTGGTTTCTTTGTGTTCTAATAGTTAAACTATATCATTAAGGCCTATTTTGCATAACTAGACGAGGCAGAACTACTGCTGAAATATAAAGACTGCGAGTTTGCATTTTCTACTCTCCGGGTAATCTGGCTTGCTCCCACCTAACGTGCATGTGACGTTGATCTGTGACTAAAGCTAGATTTTCTGCTTGTGAAACATTTATTGTTATCTAACCATGAGGACGCACATTTCGGCAGAGTCTTGCTCAACGGATCCGATTCACTGATGACGGGGCTCGTGACAGCTGTTGAAATGTCCAATAGGGTGTGTGTGTGTGTGTGTGTGTGTGTGTGTGTGTGTGTGTGTGTGTGTGTGTGTGTGTGTGTGTGTGTGTGTGTGTGTGTGTGTGTGTGGAAAGTTTCACTTTAATTTGCGAAAAGTTTGAATTACTGAGAAATGACGAAATAGCTAAAAATCAAAGCTTAAATCTACCTAAATTGTTACATTTTCACCCATTTTTCCCCAAAATGTTCTCTAGATTTGACATTTTTGTGTTACAGTATATCGCGTTTAAATGACATCAATCATATTTATAATAATGCAGCTCTAAGTGGCCTGTTAGCATGCGTCCTTTTAATGCTTGAGGTTAAACTGCTTCGGTTTCGTGTGTCTGACCCGAGGTTCTGACCTTTATCTGGCTACATTCAGCCGGACCCGGGACAGAGCCGACAAACGGGGAAAAAAACGAGGGACCCCGCCGCGTTTTGCTGAGTTCTGCTACCTCCTGTTTAACCTCCTGCTCATTCAAACCGACGGAACTCCTGCTGACAAGCAAAGCTCCCTTTGCTCCCAATCCATAAGCGGGCGGAGCCGGGCGCCACTTCAGGCACGTGCACACTCTAAGGCACGCCAAACCTGTGTGGGTGCGTTCAGTCTTTTTATAGACAGGTCGGATATAGATGAGTAGCCTCAGCGTTCCACCTAAAATTGCTTTTTGAAATGTCGAAAAAGATGGAAAAAAATACACAAAAATAAAGAAAAAGCCTAGGGAAATGTGTCATTAGACCGTATATAGGTTCAACGTTCATGCTCAGGTGTTTGTCTACCTCCTAAAGTTTTTGAGTAATACAGAACTTATCTGTGCCTCACAGTCTCGATTCGAGGTCAAAGGTGTTTTTTTTTCTTTTGCATGTGGGTTTAAATTCTAAAACATAACCAGTCTGACAAATATTGAATGTGATAGCGGGATTTAAATTTTTTTATTTTTTATTAATCAGTACATTATAGGTTTAATGAAAGTTTCCTGCCTGTCAGTACGGTCAAAGTAACCGATGTTTCAGTGGTGCAAAATAAATAGATAAATAATAAATAAATAAATAAATAGAAAGATCTTTATTACTTGAAAAATGCAGCTATTCTTCAACTGGTTTGTGTTGACTGCAATACTTTCTTTGTAATTCTTTTGTCTGTAATTAATATTTTGGAAAATGGATAAAATCTTGGTTTGTGAATAAAAAAAAAGAAATGTCAATTTACAAAAACGCTTATGGTGAAGAAGAAAAAAAATGGAATATGACCTTAAGAGAAAAGATCCCAAAGCAGAGCTGTTTCCTGTCTCAGAACCAAACCTGAAAGGCTGACCTTGTTTTCTTACTTTTGCTCAGAGTCCTACTTAAAAGGGTTTGATTTTTAGGACAAGGTGTTTATTGACTGGGTCAAAGGAACGGCTCGGTCACTTTGTGATGACACACTGTACTGTTCTTCAGTAACACAAAGCTTTCCCCACTCATACTGCTGCTGGTTTCACTGCTTCTCTCCGGCGTCCACATCTGCATGCACATCTATGTCGATTTTTTTTCTTTTTCTTCCATTTTTCTGGTCGTACAGCCATTCTTTTATAACTGCCCTAGCTTACATCTGGCCGGCCGGTCACACTCGGATTCAATCATAACACGATCCCTCAGCCCACTAACCTCGTTCCAGGCTGCGTTCACACACACAGCCTGAGCGCCACACACTCGCACACCAGAGAACACCAGCCATTGTGCGTGAATGTCAACCCGTCAACTTTTTCAGACTTTAGGCACTGCGTAGTTGATCTAAAAACGCACATGCATGCATATCGAGGAGAGTTGTGTCCTAAGCTACCACATTTTATTCTGAGGCTGTTCAATTTGGAGACAGTAGGAGGCAACTTTAGTGGTTTTAGTGTGCAGTAGGAGGAAGGTGATTCACTTTATTTAAATCCACCTTGTTGGATAAAAAACAAAAAAGTGTTAAAATTGCTGTTTGAAAAAAGTTTCTGTGGTATGCATTTTGTTTATGTTCATTTTTCTAGTGCGCTCTTAGTATGGAATTTACGGTACTGTTTTTTCCCACCTCTGTGACGCTGAAAGTGACACAGACACGTTCTCATATACTTCACCGTGGGTCTGCTAAGCTCATTACAAGCAAAGTGTGTGAAAAGGGAATAGGTTGTTCATGCACATACAACAGAGGACAGCCCCTCCTGACATGTGAGGTACATGACGGGAGAGAAGTTGTTACGCACAAGTAATCAAAAGCTGTAAATGAACCAACACTGGAAATCGGTTCTATCCTATTTTGATGAGTACGTTTGAATTGAATCTGTGTTTTAATTCAAACTTAGACATCGCATAGAGAAATCTGTCCAGTAATCTGATTTGACATCATATCTTGGTTCAGTATCTCCAGGTTTGACTGTCAGGTCATTCCTTTGTTTTAAGAAGCTAACAATCCAAACTGTTTATACGGATACATATTTAGCAATTCTCACAGGTTTTTCATGATCCACTGTCAAAAGTAACTGAACATTTCTGACTCCTGAGAAACTTTTCTGACTCATGCAGCTCATAGGGTGAGTAACTGGACCTTGAGGCACATATTTAAACCGTCTGATATGACATAGATAACATAAGTGCTCTATTTGTTTAAAGAGGCTCTCGTTTGGAGGGTCTTTGCAGGATTTTTGTGGCCTTTTTAGCGGATACTAGGAGGATCTTTAGGAGATAAAAAGGTGCCAACCTTCAGATTCTCCACCAGCCAGTGGTTTCATCCAACTGATCTGCTGAGTCCTGTAATCTCTGGTTTATTTCATAGACAAACTCATCCCTTTGTTTCTCTACGGCCTTTCAGGACTGACGTTTTGAGGATGTTTCCTCCTTTTCTTAGTTTTGTCCCCGCGCATGAACTTTTACCGAGTTGCATCAGCTTTAGCCTAAATAAAGCTCTGGAGTTGGGGGAATAAAGGCGAGTGAAACCAGTTTTGGTAAAGTGAGACCACCTTTAGTATGGACACCATTTGGATTATTGATGGTGAAATCCTGGTTCCTCTATCAAACCACAGACACTAATGTCTACAGAGTGAGAGCAAATACAGAGCAGTCTTTACAACTATGCCTTTAAAGTTTGAAAAGGGTATTTTTTTACTTTTTAAATGAGGCAGTATAAGGGGTAAAACACTGGCCTCTATGAGGTAAAAAAACTTCAAGCCTTTGAACCCCTAAAGCTAAAATGAGGGGCTTTCTTTTGTGAGAATACGATATTTTAGTGCTGGACACATGTTTATGCTAATAAAGCTCCTACTTTTTAATTAGGAGACTTAACTAAGAGTTACTCTATAGCAACAGCTAAAAACAATCTTTACCAATAGAGCTAAAAATAGTGCATATTTTTGTGTTATCCCGTCAGTGCGTAGTAGAAATGCACGGCTCTGAGAAGTCGACTTATCTTCACGTGTCTTTAGCTGGACGTCTGCCACCTGTGTATGCCGGTTGGGTAACGGGCCTGGAGGGAGGGCCTCTGTAAGTAGGTCACGGTCATGTAACATTTTAAGCGTCGACATGCTAACCTACATCACCGGCTGTGGATTCTGTTATATTCTGCCCATTTAACGTCAAAACAACGAATAATTCTCACCATTAACCCGAGCTGTTGGTGAAAACTATTCCTCTTTATTTGGAGAAGAGAGCTATGAGATGTATAAGCGTAGTGGGAATACAGAGTCTGGTTCCATCTGTTTACTGATCACTGTGGCTCCTCCACACACCCTACTTAAATCATTTAAAAACACGCTTTATATAGTTATCTATTTAGCGTTAATATTGAATCTCTTGAGCTGTAAAAATACAGGAGGACATCAGTTTGGGTCATCAGGACAGACTGAAGCCTGTTTTAAGAATCACATAAGCGGTGCTGATCCCTGGGTCGTCTTGAATTTCAGGCGTTTACAGTCATATAATGTGCTTTCACAGTTTTTTCCCCCTTAAATAATTATCTCTGCCCTTTCTGCGATATGCTTTCAAACGCTGGGGATTTGGGTCAGGGGGGCTCGGGAGGGCAGAAGCCAAATGAGAAAAGGATGACAACCTTAATAAGAGTTGATATATACTTTCACAGCGGACGTAACCAGAGAAGAAGAAGCCAGCACAGTCCTTCAGTCCATCGTACAGTAAAACACACAAAAAGGTGTGTGGAACTCTCTGTGTTAGGTTTAACTGTAATTATTGGGCCATCTATGAAGGAGAGCATAAAAAAGATAAAGGCTGCTTAAGCTTTCTACCATCTTAGCTCATGTATTGTTGTAAAAGACACCTTTTTTTTTTTTTTTTTTTTTTAATTTTTCATTCTTGGGACAAGGCAGAGGAGCTTCAAATTAGGTTTGCTTAAGACTAGGCTCGAAATAAATTGGAAATCTTTGATTCTCTGACTTCAGGTGACTAACAATAATGTAAGCTTTCAACTTTAATCCAGCACCGCCCCCATAATATGCCCATAATACCTCGAGGCCTGAAATTGGCATTTCATTAAATTAGAGAAATCTAATTTAGTCTACATATGCAGTTTTACTAAACATATTTTCAACTATATATAGCTAATCTGGCACAGAGCCTGAACTCCACTGAGTGGTGTATTCCTTTTAAAAATCTTTGCAGTGATGATTCCGAGCTCCGAGAAACAATTCATGGATCTTCCCACGAACTTTTAATCTTTCTGTAAAACCCATTTAAAAACAAAAAACAAAAGTAACTACTGATTACTCACGAGTGTCTAATTATTAACCAATGTCCCATCTAGCTGTCATGTTTTAAAGTTCTTAGCCAGTTTATCAGTTACCTTTGAGCTGTGAGCGTCTGATAATGGCCGGTGTTTGTGCTCCATATCATACTATGGATCATTCGGATGCTCGGATCTATCCGATACATTCTTGTTTGTTTATGAATCTTCCTTCCACAACCCAGGGAGTCGTGGACTTCCTTTAGATTCTCTTTTTAGATTAAACTTAATTTTTCCTCTGTAATACAGCCCTACATGATGAACTTCCTGTATTAGTGATTGAAAGAAACCTGCTTCACGTTGTTCATTCAGCATTACAACGCTGCAATTCTTTATTATTGGACGGTCAAATGCATTTTCAAGAACTTTCCAAGAAAGCTGAGCGACTTATGGTACGCAAAAAGAAAGAAAATGGATTCAATCCCATTCTTCCAGTCAAATGCATGACCTCTCAGTGCTGACCATCCGACATCTACTGACCTACTCTGTGGGCGAGCCAGCTCCGATAGAGGGATGCATCAGACCTGGAAGCGACCAATAAGTCAAGTTTTGGAATATATGGTTTCCTGATATGCCGTGGCCCCGATCCCAATCGGCTCAGTACAACTGGGTCACCGCCCTTCGTATAGAATGTTCTTACGATGGACTATAAATAGTCCTTTCCAGAAACAAGGGCCAGTGAGCAATGTTGGAAGCGTATCCTTCGGCGCTCAGGTGAACCAACACAAATTCCCTCAACATGTGGCGGGGCCTGTTTACACAACATCCTGCCAGAGAGCGAGCCTCCTGATCTGCCTGTAATCCTCCCAGCATCTCTGCCTGAGGGAGGCAGGCATGTGCTGCCCAGGCACACACCGAGCCCTGCCGTCCACATGCTGACTGACCCACAACGGGGATTATGGGAGCAGAGACTTAAACAACGGGACACCTTGAGGCTGCGAAACCAGGTGAGCAGATGCCCCAAGTCACAGCGCTAAATCCCCATCTCCAGTTTTTTTTCCGTCTACATCAAAGGTTCATATCAGGTTTTATTTTTTACACAAAGTGATAAAAACGGAGATGCTGCTTAAGGCGATGGCACAAATCCAAGCTAGGGTTCCTGAAGAATTTGGCTATTAATAGAGTGCGATTGGGTAATGCAATAACAATTTGCCTCAATCTAAACCGTTTCAGATGCAAACGCAGAGGCTTCAAATGTGGAGAAATGGTGCCACCGTGTGGCTCTTTGGAGCACTGCAGCCTGGAGCTGCTCACTCCACCAGCAGCCGTGTGATTGGCTGTCTCCGTCCTGGTCCAAATTACAAGTTTGTGTTCCACAAGTACTTAAAATAGTCTATAAAATACTCTTTTTTTGGGGGGGGAAGAAAATAAAAATATCCACAAAATACGAACATACAGATAATTTTATCATTTTTAATGGACAATTTTCCTTGATTAAAGCAACCGGCTGAGCTATATTTTTAGTTGAACAAGTCTAGTTTTAATAATCTCAGGAGTGTCATTTGATTTTTGAAATGCATTACATCAATCTGGCCCATTTTCACAAGTGCTAAGCAGAAAAGAAAAACGATTCCGGCGGAAGTCACAAAGCAGGTTTCACTTTTCTTTTTCCTGATTTATTTTGGAGAGGCAGATACAGAGGACATCTTTTTGTGTGAGCATGACAATGTACAAAAAAATAAAATGGAAAAGCACAAAAAGACAGAACACCGATTTTACCTCCACCGGTTGACCCCGACGTTGGAGGAGCCTGCGAACCACGGGTCCAGGAAGTAGACGCAGCGCACGGTGCCGGCCCCCTGGATGGCCTCCTGCAGGGCCGGGTTGTCGTGGAGCCGGAGTCCTTTCCGGAACCAGTGGATGGAATTCGGGGCCATTTTGTTCTGAAGGGGATGAATAAAAAAAGTCCATTTACTGAATGGCTGCAAACGGCAGAGTGAAAGTGCTACATGTGCTGACAACATAACAGAATGGGATGCCCCCCCACCCCCCCCCATCCTCTCCATGGCACAATCAGCAGTAGTACAAAATCACTCCCAGCAGGAGAGGACGGCCGACGCATCCTTGCTGCCAAGTGTGTGTGCCCAGCCCAGAATAGAACGGCAGACTTAGATTTTTTTTTAACCTATAAATGAGACATCTTAACTTTAAAATGCAAAGAAATCAGCCTGAAAAGCAACGTTTTTACTCCCAAACTTTGACTGTCACCGGCGTTGCAGGATGTTTCTAAGTTATTTATTTAAAGCCAATTAGAATAAATAACAGATTTAAAAAATAAGAAGAAACCTAGTTTTTCTATAAACTAGAAAAAAAGAAAGGGAAGGCCTCCTGCGAATAAAAAAGGCAATATTTACATCTGAATCAAGATAAAACCCAATTACAACAACAGGAAAAGATGTGGACTGACAAAGTAATTATGCAAAAAAGAAAAGAAAAAATGGAGGACAAAATGCTTTACCCCTCAAAAAAGGTAACAACAACTATACTTATAATGACAGGCTGAAATCTGATGGAATAAATGGAATTTAAGGGAGCTAAACAGATACAATGCATGTCAAACGGGGAAATATTAAAATATTAAAACACAGAGTCTTCTGTAGTCGTTACAGGTGGTTTTTAAAACCATTTTGAGCACCGTGACACTGCCTCTGGGAATGCACGACAACTTGTCCGACAACTTTGCCACACTGGTCAATCAGGACCCAATTCAAGACAGTTATTAAGCCGCAGGGCTTCAGCACAGGTCAAGACAACTTAAACCCTCTAATTTTCCCAACCAGAGCACTTAGCTGGACATACATAAGCTCCAGTTCTGAGAAGGTTTTCTCTCCTTTGTACGATGTGATGAAATCTGAAATCTGGGTTCAATGCCAATAAAAGCTTCTTATTCTCATGAAGGGAAAACCAGTTTAAAACTCCTCTTTTCTGGCTGCGAAAGGAGTTCACAGTCCTCATTTGTCAACTGGGATTCTGCCACCCGTGTGGAAAGCAAAGAGCTGATGCTAGTGGGAGACAGACAGAAGCGTGGGGACCCGTTCACATGACTCATTGGTGGAGCGGCGTGGCCCTCAGGTTTCCGGAAGGATCGCTCTCCAGATCCCACACAACGCGTCTGCAAAGTGAGTCAGACATTCGGAGGCTTTGCAGGCCAGCCTGCCAACTGATTTTGAACCATCGCTTCTAAAATAATGAGTAAACAAAGGAGCAGAGATGCACAAAACACGACACGTTTAAAGAGGCTGTGAAAGAACAACAGAATATTAATGAGGTCATTTAATTTTTTCCTCCTGTTACTTTGTCTACTCTTTCTGTACAAAGCCAGGGATATTTGCTAAGCTAAAATAAATGGATGCAAACAGAAAAAAACGGACAAATATTATTATTTCAACATTGCTTCCAAAGTATTGGAGGATTTTAGGGGATTCAGCTGCTAAATGTTGGACTTTCCCAATAGTTTTACTCATTGATTTGGTCACGTTTCTCCAACAAACTAAACACCAAAGTGGTTACCTTTGGAAAAAACACTGTCGGACTGTTTATGTGAGCCAATTTTAAGCTGGCTGATGTTCAGATCTGCAGCCCATCACGAGCGTGGAAGGTTTTAAACCAGTGTTTGCCTCCATTTTGCCTCACAAATGGGCAATACTTACTCTGAGCCGGTCAGTAGCCTGACATCACTCTGATCCGGCGTGAAAAGGCCAACATGGATGAAACGTGACCGACCAATGGAGCAGTGGGTGCCAACAACAGGTGCCCAGATGGAGGCTGAGACTTACGCGGCACAAATAGCATCTTTCAGCTGTGCGTGGAACACATCTGGTCTCTTTGGGAGTTCATGAACTTGTGAAAACTCCTACTTTAGTAGCAAGACTTAGAGTCTGGTAAAAAAAACAGCAGCTGAGTGTGTGAGGTGGATGCTAAAAAGGATTAAAGCTTTGAATTCAACTCCATTTCATAGTAAGGTTCAGGTTTCTGTGTTGACTATTTGCAGGGCAGAAGATCCTAAAACTTTCAAAAGTAGGTTTGCATTGAAACAACTCATTTAATTCATATTTAACTCACAGCTTCTGTACATTTGCTTTGAATTCAACTGCATTTCATAGTAACTTTCAGGTTTCAGTGTTGGCCATTTGGAGGGCAGAATATCCTAAAACTTAAAAAAGTATGTTTGCATTGAAACAACTCATTTAACTAACATTTTACTCACAGCTTCTGTACATTAGAGCCATTCCAGCATATCCCAATAAAAACAATACAATTAAAACATAACTTTAATTTAAATTTTCTGTTTATTTATTTATTTTTTATTTGACAAGAGGCAGTTAAAGTGTTGACAGGAACCACTCATGACTTCTCCCAATTAAAATTAGGTCACTGTGTCTCTGCTCTGCACGAGCGCGAGAGAACGAGACGATTTTCAAAATGAACACCAGCTAACAGCGCGAAAAATTAACACATAAATACATTT